GGAGAAGCCAATGTACTTTGTGGCTTTTCCTTTGAGATCCTTCTAACAGGAGTTCATGGGATTGATCATGATGTTCTGGAAGATGCTCAAAAGGCTCTGCTCTACCTAACAGTACTATCTGTACCTTCAATAAATCTGTACTGTCCTGTTATTTCTGTGTCTTGCTCAATCCTTGTTTTGGGGAAACCAAGGATGTGGACTTCAATTGGACACCCCAAAGGTAACAGCACTGTTTCTCAGTTTGGCCCAAGGAAGTCCCAGTTCATCCTGCTGTGGGTCAGGGACACCAGTCCTGAGCTGGGGGAAAGCCCCAGGAAAGCTGCCTGGGCTGTAGAGACATGGACAATGAGCACCTGGCCTCTGCCCTGTCTACCAGCCCCTTTGTGCCCAAGGGAATAAAACCCCAGTTTGAAAACAGAGCTCATACACCACTTGTGCAGGTGGATGGGTTCTGAGGGAGCTGTAGGCCTTGCTGAGTTCTTTCTGGGTCCCTGTCTCATGAGTTCAAAGAGTGAAATCCACAGATGGTAGCAGAGTGTGTAAGTAAAAGGAGTGAGATTTGTTTGAATGAGAGGAGAAATATGGAACTCCCATGATGTCAGGGGAACCTGGTGAGGTTTTGTACTAGTCTTGGGATTTGTGGCTTCTGTTTAAAGGCTTTGATCAGAGTCCATATTGAACAGGTATTAAAAAGTGTTTAGCCAGTTGTTAGACTCTCTGCTGAACAGGTGTTGGGAGGGCACCAGGGCTATTATTGGCCTGTGACTTTCTAACTGGCTCTGCCCTTAAGCACTTGAGTCTGAATTTTTCTATAACTTCCATTTGGGTCCACCCCACTTTCATTTCCCCACCACACAGGGACAAAGGAGTTGACTGGAAAGTTCCATCCCATGGGGAGGACTTTATGTTTGAAAAACCTTAATTGAGGCCCACTGTCCTGATTGCCTGGTGATTAACCCTCTTATGCTTTTCAGAGGATGAAGGCTGACAGTCACAAGGGACATGGCAATGGGTTTCCACCCTGTTGGATTATAATATGAAGACAAAAATGATCTCCACTTTTAAGATCTAACAGGATAATCTATCTGTCAGGGAACTCTTATGAGTGCAGCCCTGCCTATCGCCCACAGAGATAAAATCCAGGTGCCTTCTGGAGTTCACATGTGTGCAGTTGCCTGTGTCTTAGCCCTCTGATTCTGCAGAGAGGAGTTCTGAACAGTCTCCGTATGGTCCATGTGGCCTTCACTGGACAGAGTACTCTGGACATTAAACAAACAAACAAGAAATTTCAGTGTACAGGGTAAACAAATATACACCCTCACAACTAGTATGTAATGCCTTTATGGTATATGCCTAGGGGGACAGAAACAAAAGTCAACCTAGGCTTTGCTGGCAGTCTCTGCAAAGGATCTTAAATTAACCCTAATACTCAGGATGGAGAAGACCTCCTCCATTGAATAGCAATAGCTCCTGTAAGAAGAAGGTCCCAAAATCATGCTCTGAGCACAAGTGACAGTGGGGGAACTTGCTTAAAATGGGTGGCATTATGATAATGTAAGAGACAGAGCAGGCTCAACAACAGCCTGTGCCCCAACCCCTTGAGTGCACCCTGAGGAGAAAGACTATTGCAGTTTTTGTATATTGTCGCAGCCCGGCTGGCTGGGCAAAATAACCGGGGGGTGACGAAGAACTTGTGTAGATTGATACAGCAGGAGTGGAAGCCGTTTATTGCAGGACAGGAGCAGTATTTATACATTCCACACAGCTTATCTAATTAGCATAAACTAGATACATCAGTCAACCAATAAGGAATCTCCACACTTAATGGCTTGCTTTTGTTACTTCTCAAACCACTCCCTCTGGCATTTTGCCAGGCACCATCCAGACTTGTTTATGAACTCTAACATTCCCCTGGCAAAATGCCAGGTGTCATTTTGACTTGTTTACAGACTCTAACAGTATATGCCAGACTTTCCACTCCCTCCTGGGTAGGATTCATCATGTAAGTTAAATGTGCTCCATTAGAAGCACTTCCCAGGAGAAGGGAACAAGGCCTGCTCTGCTGGAGGTCTACTAAACCTGAGTGAGGCCCTTTGATCCATGTGGTCTTACCAAGGTTTTCTTTAAGGAGGAGATAACTTGCCTCAGGAAAAATAATTACTTCCCTTAGGAGAGAGGCATTAATGGGGATCCATTCCCTTCTGGACAAATTTTTAAAACATGAATACAATCAGCTTTGCCAGACACCCTACAATATGCCTGTTCTGTCTCATAAGAAACCTTCTACTTATGAGTGCCAATTTGCACCAGACTTGAGAGGTGTTAAATGTTGAGTGTGTAATGCTCATTGCTTTAGGATTTTTCTTTGGCAGAGAAAAAGATGACAAAATGACCAGGCTTGGTTTTCATGAATAACCTAATATATGTGACTAGAGATAAGTATATATCTGAAACTAAATATGTTTGTTTGTATAAGAACTAAGTCTATATCTGATAATTTTCTAAATTATAAGAGATTTAAGGCTATCTTTTTGTTTTTGCTAGTACTGCTAATCTATACAGATCTATAATTATTGTTATCATAGACTATGGATCCTTAATTTTACTTTGAAAGTGAAACATAGTATAAGGAAATCTCTGTAATTGTGACACTGACCTTACTGGTTTCTTTGAACATTAGATGTATTCATGTTCTTCTAGTATATAGTCTTTTAAAATGTAAAGCTTAGAAAAACATTTTACCAAGTTGGTGTTATCCAAACTAAAATCGTCTGTAGAAATACTCTCATTCAGATTTATAAAGAAATAGTAAATTCAAATTCAAACTCCTTCAAATGTTCCCAAAAGAGTTCATTTTCACAGGAAAAGCTCAATGAATCGTGACCTTCTCAGAAGATATCATTTGGGTGACAGTCAGGGACAGGGATATTAGGACAGTGTAGGGCACATAAACAAATATCCTCTTATAATAATCATTTGTCCCCAATGTCCCTCCATGATGCTTTCACCCAGGAAGCCTCATGGATCTTCCCCTCCCCTTTGCACTTCTCCACCTGTGGGACCTGCTCTGATCTTACTAACATCCCTACCTGCACCAGCAACCTCACTGTTTGTAGATGAATTGGTTCTCCTACGGCTATAACTTAGCCTAAATACATAAATGTATTCTGATATGGAGAGTGGTAAGTGCTACCTTTTAAGGTTGTAGGTAAGACATGCCCATCTATCCACCTGTTTTGAAAGACAGCTGTGGGGGGCTGGGGATGTGGCTCAAGCGGTAGCGCGCTCACCTGGCATGCGTGCGGCCCGGGTTCGATCCTCAGCACCACATACAAACAAAGATGTTGTGTCCGCTGAAAACTAAAAAATAAATATTAAAAAAATTTCTAAAAAAAAAAAAAGAAAGACAGCTGTGGGTATTTTCACAAAATGTGAAAGTGTCAGATTATGCTGCAACCCTTGAACAGATCTTAGCAGAAGAGATGCGACTGAGAAACCAGGCACTTCCTTCCTTGTGGCACAGCAGGCAGCAGGAGGACTGTGCTCCCATCAAATTCCTTTTCTTCCACCAATTGAGGTCAGGGTATGTGGAGTGGCCCAGGTGGACACTACATAGGAAAGGAGTTTGCATCACACTTGAGAATCCCTTAATGAAGGGAAACAAACATTTTAAGGAGAGCTGCTAACAAATCTTCCTTTCTCCTTGCCCCTGAGAGAACATTATCTTTATTTCAGTATGCAGAAAAAAAATCTTCTCCTTTATTCCAGGAGTTGATGCTGAATCTGTCTTCCCAAGCTCTGTTTTAACAGGTATCCAACAAAGACGATTTGGAACAAAACTTTTCTGGGAGTTATAAACTTACTGGCAATGCTAAGGAGAATTATCTTCTGAAAAGTTCCACACTTATTTCTCCACTGCATTTGCTCTAGGCTAACTTTCCAGAGTGTAGCACTTGGTCAACCATGTGATCCAACTGACCTGGAAAGACTGGGAACTCATCCATTCCGTTTGCGTCCAGTAACAGGAACAAGGATGGCTGTCTACAGGATGCTCTGCATAGGGTGAGGACCACCAGCTCTGTTCCCCTCCACCATGGCCACATGGGTCCCACAATCAGCCGGCTGAGGACCCCTGTGTCCTTTAGGGTTAGAAAGTCAAGTGACTCTTCCATCCATTTCTTTATTGCTCTTTTCAGTATGAAGAACAATGAAACCCTTGAACATTATGCAAAAACATGCAATTATGTACTTATGATACAATGAGGCAACTTTTGACTTGTATTTTGAAACTGAGGACTGTACCCTGGGGTGATTTACCACTGAGCTTCATCCCAGCTCTTTTTCTTTTTCAATTTGAGACAGGGTCTTACTAACTTGTTAGACTGGCCTCCAATGTGGAATGCTGTCTAAGCTCCCTGAGTTTCTGGGATTTCATGCATGTGCCACAGCACCCAGCAAGACTGAATTTTTATTCAAACAAAGCAGAGCCTGGATAAAGTGGATATTGTAGACTCCCGGCTCATGAGAATAAAGGGGCTGACAGTGGGGAAACATAGTGAAATTAGGTCATTGGTTTTCACCAACCACCAAACCGGATTGGAAAATAGAGCAATATACAAATTTAATACGGAGGAGAGGGTGTGGAAATTCACAAAGGTGCCCACCAGGACAAGATTCTCTGGGTGGCTGTGGACTCAGGGCAAGATCTGGGGGGAACTTTGATGGTGTGGATGTGCTGAACCCTCTGCTTGTGCCTGTACAGAAGGAGAACCATGGAGCTACTGGACCAGATCATGAGCACAGAAAAGACAACTTCAGGAAATACAAACAATGCTGCATATAACGAGTCTATGATTTTATCACGGACTGCAGAAGTACAGTACCCATGATCTCTTTTCTCTGTCAGGTTTTCACTACTCCATTTGTTAAGTACATAGAGAGGAAAAATGGAATTTACCACCATATACAGGATCCAGCAGAGGGAAATGGAGAAGCCAATGTACTTTGGAGCTTTTCCTTTGAGATCCTTCCAACAGGAGTTCATGGGGCTGATGGTGATGTTCTGGAAGATGCTCAAGAGGCAGATGATGAAAATGGAAACACTCCTGCCCACTCGCTGCATGTATAGGATGAGTTTGCATCCAAAATTACTGAAGAAATATTTCAACCCAAAAGCTGTCATTGTCTGGTGAATTCCTCTACTGAGAATCAACAAGGAGTTGGCTATGGTCAGGTGCCTGAGAATCAAATCTCTGGACCTCAATGTACACTCATTGCAGGAAAGAACCAAATGATAATAAAGCAGAGAGAAGTTTCCCAGAATTCCAACAGCAGTCTGTGATAAGAATGTCATGCCTATAGCCATGTTGCTGGAGGCCATTTTGTCATTCAGCATATTGTTCTTTAAATTATGACAACAGTCGTTCCTCTGAGCTAAATGACTTCTTTAGAATAGCTGTACCCATGCACAGTGGTGAGCACCTGTATCCACATGCTACCTGCAGAGCTGAAGCAGGAGAATCACTGGAGCCCAGGAGTTTGAAGCCAGCCTGAGCAACATAGTGAAATCCCCTTCTTAAAATAACTTTTGACACCAAGAGTAACTTTTATTGCATGCACCTGTGGGATTGCAAAGACCTCAAGATGCACATGTTTCTGGGGAGAATTAACAGTATACTTTATAGAAAAAAATGAGCCTGGATGATCAGATGAGGCTATCCTGTGAGGAGCAATGAAAAGTAGGAGCAAATGCATAGAAAGGATTTAGCACTTAACATTTCCAAATGAATGATATTTGTAGTCTCATTGGCAAAAGAACTTCAGTCGCCATCCAAACCAAACAACAAATCAGATCTCAGTGGATTTCTGACCTAAACTTTTAAGTATAAGGAATGGAGTTTTTAAAATCACAAAAAATTATTTCTGTGGTCTTAGGTAAGAAAATGTATATTAAACAGCACAAACACCCTAAACATATGGTTGAAATGACAAGTCAGGGCATATTACCTTGAGAATTAACTCTCATCAGATGCCATACACAGGGTGAATGAGTTTGATGTATCCTGCACCAACAGTCTTACAAAATTTACAATAGGACAAAAACAGGCAAGCCTTTCTAATATGTACTTCAAGATAAAAAGACATCATTCAATGACTAATAAATATGGGGGAATGTTCAGTGTCTTTATTTAAACCATCCCATAGTATAAGCACATACCAACCTAAATTTAAAATAAAATGGCAGGCAATTCCATGATTGGCAGGGATGGAGATAGGACAGGGTTCTCATGAACTGGCAATGGGTGTTAAAATTGGTGCAAACATGTGGCAAAACTGGTGGTATCCACTTACTGGCTAAGATATAAACCTCTGTGCCAGCAATTCCAATCTGATGCATGCTCATGTGTCCTCCAGAAATTGCCCTGGGTCCACATTGGATTTAATGAATGCAAGACTGAGCTGAGGGTTAGTTCCATAGGGAACAGGGAGAGGGAGGAGGCAAGGGAAAGAGAAGTAGTAGGGACTAAAGTGGAGAAAACTGTATGCCACGCTCTCCTAATGAGCCTCAGTATTATGTGTAACAATAGTGCACTAATGAAAAATCTAAAAATGCATAAGGAGGAAAAACTCTACATGAGGAACCAAAACAGATGCTAGGAAATCATGTGATTTTAAAATTTATAGTAGATGAATGGAAGACTATCTCCTCTAAACAAAGATTTAGTTCCATAGCAGAAATATCCATTGGTTGTCATTGCTGGAATAAAAATATACTGGAATATATAAATGAATTGTTCAAAAATATTACTTTGTTCCTAAACTATGAAATAGGAAATACTAATATCTGATAAAGTACTTTAGGATAGAAATGAAGTTCTCACTAATTTCAGGCTAAAAGCTCCTGTGCACTGACAGCTATATTAGTGAAATTGTCGGCAATGAACTAGGATTTATGGAGGACATTTCACTATAAGAGGTATGTCAGTAGAAGCTGTAGCGTGTGAATTGCACACTGAATGAAATGAAATAAAAAATAAAATGTCACGAGTTTGTAATTAATGTTGAAGTATTATTAATACAGATTATTAACACAGATTCATTTGTTACTGAAAACCACTATCATCACTATAATGTTACCTTCTCTGTGTGTCCAGCAGGAAGAGAGTCTCGCCTCAGCCATCACAGCACAGGCATTCAGAGGAGACGTGATTCCTGTCTCACTTAAGTGGATTGTATCAGAGTTGCAAAAGAGCAACTTTTTTCCCCCCAGAAACAGTCCCAGGTGTTGGTTTCTGCACAGAAAGAGTTCCATCTTCATCTTTACTATAGGCAATGAAGGTATTACATACATGGATATGGTGGAAATTAAAAAAATTTATTCTAAGGTCTGTCTAAAATAATGTGAAGAATATGTTAGTTGCTAACTTCAGTCCTTAAGCCCCTTCCAAATCAGAATTCACTATCAATGATATTATTCACCCACAAACATCCTCAGTGGTGATTTTATTAAATAACTTACGCATCAGGTCAGGGACACTTCTCCTTTTACTGAAGGAATTATTTCTCTCCTTAGTCTACCTCTCCACAGAATCTGTTTCTATCCCGGAATCCCTCTGCATACAGGAGCACATCCTCAGATTTCCTTTTCTTATTGATGATACCGATATTGAAACCACTCACTGTGCTTCTTGTGTGCCAGGTACTGGGCTCAGTGTAAGGTCCTGACAGCCAGCATGGAGGGAGGGAGGCAGCTGCACCCTGAGATAAAGGTCTGTGCTCCTGTGACCTCACTTCCCCTCAGGGCTGCAATTATCACTTCACCTGGAGAGGCAATGACAGTGCAGGCCTGGGGAGCCCAGGACAAGGCTGAAAAACTTTCTCCACACTTGCTAATTACCAAGACAATTATGAGTTTCTTGTTAGTAACTTCAGAATAAGTGTTGAGGAGTCTGGGAGATGCTGTTGATTTCCCATGATCCCTGGAAGCTGACAGGGTTTCTATGAAATGTGCCAAAATTTGATATGTGATCTCTGAGGGACTTGAAGAGGGTTTGTGTGTCTCATTGGACTCCATGCTTTCCTGAGTTCCTGACCCCAAATCTTGCTAATTCCGTCTCCTTCCCTTCCTTCCCCATTCCCTTCCCCTCCAGGGAGAGGCTGGGACCCAGAACAGGGCCTATCCTTGTGTCCCTGTGGCCTCAGCTTCAGGCAGGCTGGGGTATGCAGAGTGCAGACCACATCCAGGGTGAGTGCTCCTGATTGTGACACCTTATGCTGTCATCACAGCCATCCCTTGGCCATGGAGCTTGTCACTAGGAAAGCTCAGTTGGAGAGCAGCCAACAGATGGGTCACTTGGAGCATATGCTTATGGGCACTGAGTGGAGGCATAAGGGGATCGAGCTTTATGAACATGGAACCTGTCCCCAGCACTTGGAAGGACCTGGGTTTCGGTGATGTGGCCTGGGGTATGACATAACCAGCTCCCAGGGGAATGGGCAGGACCTTATCCACTATTATTCATGGAGTCTTGAAGCAGCCAATACAGCCTGGAGATATCCAAAGGTCAGCTCCCAAATTATGACTGCATGAAGCACCTGTGCTCTATGGTACTACAAGAGTAGACATGTGTGGCCCAGCTGGGGAAAATATCAGCCCAGCATAAATAGCAGCTGGAGGCGCAGAAGCAAGACATCCAGCATACATGTGTGAAATCCACAGGTGAACTCCAACCTTCAATCCTGCAGGAGAAAACAGAATATAAGGAGATCCTAGAGTGGGTGGACTTCCTGCAGCCAGCCACAGTGAACCTCTGGTGAGGATGATCCAGACCCCTGGGCTGTGCTCCAAGCTGTGATCAACTGCCCCCTGGTGGATAGGGGTTGTATTCCCTCTATTTTGAGTGGGTTGATTGAAAATTCCCAGGAACATGCTGGACCCAGGTCTGGCCAAGACAAGGCAGATGAACTGGCCCTACTATGAGATAAGCAGTCTGCGGTCCCAATGCCTTGTGAGAACCAGCATATGAGGGATGATGTGGTTGGGAGCCAGGGCTCGTCATGATGTTTTGCAAGGCGTGGAGGAGATATAGGAGAGCAGGACCAGCTATTAGGGAGAGAGGGACTTCAGAAAAGCCCCATCCCTCTGGGCTTTGAGTCCTCCCCCTCTCCTTAATGCCGTGGCTAAGCTTGAGCCACTCATCTCCCTGTTGTTCTAACACTGAAGGGCCCTGAAGCCCTTTGCTCAGCCTTTCAGGGAAGAAACTCAGATTCCTGCTTAGATTCCTGCTTTTTGCAGGATTTCTTTCCCTAAAATGTCGGTAAGTTCTCAGTGTGGGTGGGAAAGCCCTACCTTTGTATTTTCCTGCTGTGGTCCTTGGTTCCAGTTTTTTTTTCAGACAGCACAAAGATATTAATTTTCCTTAGAGGATCAGGATGGAATTAAGGAATCTCTAATCATCCTTTCCTCCAAAACCAGGGCACCAGAGCAGGCTGCCTGTTGATTCCAAGCCTCACTAACAGCAGCTCTGGGGTCAGACATCCAGAAGACTGGGCCTCTGTGCCAAGCACATCCCTGTTCAGCCACCTTAAGTGTGCAGGCTCCAGTGGGTCTGCAGGTGCACAGGATGGATGCTGAGGATTCCCAGGTAAGTCCTTTTCCCTTTCTCATAATGAGGGGTGACAGGGTTGTGGGTGGGGGTTTGACTATGGGATTCAAGAAGCATCACATTAGCAAATGCTGCCTTCTCAACCCAACAACACTGGATGGTTATCCAAATTAGCTATACTTGTGTTTGCTAAGAAAATAAGAACCCATAGGGAGTTCACAAAAATCACAAAATCATTTCAGGAACTCATGACATTCACAGAAATCTATTAGGCTCCTGTTTATGGTTCACTACAGAGAAGGGATACAGGTTACAGTCAGCCCAGGGAAGACGCTGACTGGCAGAGTCCAGGAGAGGTGCCCAGTGTGGAGCTTCCCATCATCCTCCCTGTGGGTCACCATATGAGACAACACTCCTAGATATCGTCAATCATGAAAGCTCACCTGGGCCTTGGTGCTCAGAGCTGCTCCTGGAGCCTGTCACACACCGTTCACATGGCTGTATTTAGTCTCGGCTCCTCCTGAGGCTAGGCATTCACATGGCACTCACAATGGCAGAAGCCCAAACCCAGCACAGTTCACATCATTAGAGAGTCTGGTGGCCAAGCTCCAGGCAAACACAGCCACTCCCTTCAGGTATCACATTTCAGTGCCTGGAGACCACTGCCCAGCAACCAAAGGCAAAGGCCTGATCTTACTTGGGCAAGACTAATTTTCCACTTCAGTCCCCCTCCTGGTCTCTGCAGAAGGCTCCCTTAAATCAAAGTGAGCACGTT